TCTTCTAAACAACGGCAGAGCAGAGGCCAGAAAAGTATAGATTTAACATTCTTTATTATTTAGTTTGTAACTTGACTTTCTCTGTTTGTAAATATTGAAGGCAGCTTGTAATTTGGTGGATAAAACGGCATCTGGCCTAACCAACCCACTTCTTTTCTCTTTCAACTCAACATTTCCCTAAGAAGAGGTTTGTTATGTTTTTTTTTTAATGTATATAATTTATGTTTAATTTCAGCATTAAAATGCAAAATCATTTTTCAAGTACCAGTAAGCCCTAAGCACACTTTCTATTGGTTTTGGTTTTGCATTTCTGCAGTATTTTAAAATACTAGGTTTGTGCACGTGCGTGCGCACACGCACACACACTCCTTTTCTTTCAGAGATACTTTCCATACCTTCATTAGGGAGGATTTCTGACTAAATGTTGAACCTTATGCAACATGAAAACAAAAAGCAATGTCATTTCCTGCATTAGTGTATCTAAAGAAAATATGCACCATATATTCTATGCCTCTGCACACAGCATAAGATGAAATTGCACTAAGCATTCATCTCCTTCTAAGTGTTTCTGCAATGTATAGAAATATAGTAAATCTTATAGCTTCTGAAGCCACTTAGAAAACAAGTCCACGGGACATACTATTTGCAGTCAGTTGTTATTCACCTTGAGGACCAATTCATGTGCAGTCAGAGGCATAGTTGCTATTAACCTCAAGGACCCTTTCATGCATACAATCAGAGACATGGGTGCATTGGAAAATATAGTCTTGTTAAGGCAACTCAGGGTAGCAAGGATTTCTGCAGCTTTGCTTGATCAGAGCCAAAAGGAACAGGAGCAAGATATCTCTACATACTGTACTGAAAGCCTTTGAGAAATGTTATTCTGTACCTAGAAGAGTTGAAAGAATCTGATTTGAAAGAACAATGATCCTTCCACAGGACACTGGGAAACAAGGCTTATGTATCAGATAGATAGTATCTTTCAAGCTTTCACATTTTCAATAATAAAATCTTTATGTCCAAGCCAAAAGGTAAACATAGTTTAATTATAAATTTGCTTTCCTGCTTTGATTTTGATCGATGTTTTTGTTCTGTTGTAAGATTTTCAAACCAATGATGTTTATCTGAGAAACAGAAAATCCTTTAAAACTATGTAAGCAAAACAGTGCAGACACAGTGACCAGCCACTGAGCAACTGATTTTATATATAACTTGAATTAGTAGAGAAGTACAAATATTTTTGCATCTATTCGAAGTCCAGGGCATTATCATGCCACATAAATGGGCATACACAGAAAATAAATCTGGTTTATCTCCAGTCATTAGTAAAAGGACTCCCAAGTCCTTGATTTTTTTTTTTAACCCACTAAACCATCTTTGGCCCAACCAAAGGGCATTGCCCCAGCCAGTTTGAGGAAATACATGTGAACTGGAGTTTAAGGCCTAGTATAAACTTAAGATATATGAAAGCAACAAAGGCAAAAATCTTTCCAAGCCTGAAACTCCTGGCTTCTCCCACCCCACTGGATCATTCCCCCATCCACCGTGGATTTAGTAGCCCCAAAACATTACTGAGTTCACCCCCCGCAACCATCCACCCACAGTTTCTTTCCTTATTAAGTTCATTAAGATTGCATATTTGACAGAAAGCATCCATTCACATTTCCATCACAATAATAAATGTGGTTGTTATTTTTTTTAAGTCAGTTCTTTAAAAAGTTTATTTATTTATTTATTATTCAAATTATATAGCTGCCCAACTCATATATATGACCCTGGGTGGCTTACAAACAAGGGAAACAAATACAAAATCAACAAAAAAGAATAATACAACAATTTAAAAACAAGAACAAAATCACATTAAACTATTAAAAAACCATCATAAAATACTTAAAACTCACAACTCACAGTCCTGGGCCCCCATGCCTGATAGCAAAATGGCATCTTCAGGGCCTTGAGAAAAGCCAGCAGGGTCAGGGCCAATCTGATCTGTGGGGGGAATGATGTTCCACAGGGCAGGTGCCACG